AAAATATTTTTTTCTAGTAGAATCAGAAAGTGGAGCTATATCCCTGGTACAGAGATATCATTTGCTGGAGATAGTTACTTGACTTACTTAAACCCAATTAGAGAAGCTCTTGATAAAAACTGGGCGATCAAAATATTATAAAACTTTGTTTTTAAAACAAAGATGAAAAAAGAAATGTTTATCTGGAAAATTTAATAATTGTTAATTTGAAAATTTTATTAAATTATTTTTTATTGATAAATATTCAAATTTAAATACTAAACATTATAATTGTAAAAAACATAAAATTGTAACTCATCATGAATAATCAACATATAATTCCTTTTACAATATAGTCTATATACCTAGCTGAGTTGAATATAGTATGATTTGGCAAAACTATGGGCAACAAAAACTATTGCTAAAACCATGAATTATTTTTAACTGAATTAATTAAAATAGATAATAAAATGTTGATATCAGGCTTCAGTTCTTTTTACAGAAGAAATGTGGACATAACAAGATTTACAAGTGTTACATTTGATTGAATCGGATTATTCAATATTAGCTGAAAAAAGAATAACCGGTTCCAGCTTTTTATATATTACAAAAGAAGACTTGCTAAGAGCTGGTCTAGAACAACAAGCAAAATTAAAACAATAGAATAGGAAAAAACAAATCTAATTGGTTTACATTTCAACAAGCTTTTATATTAAATATCTTTACAATTAAACAATGGTTATATTGAGAATAATTAAGGAGAACTTCAAAGCAGTTATCAAGAAATTTTTGAAAAGTGAGTATTATGTGCAAAGTTCATACTTTCAGGTTCATATTCTCAGAAGTGTTCAGTTTACATCAAATGGGGTATACTTAGAAATTGTCCACTTATTATTAAATTACCACAGTAAGAACTCATTATCTTTTGAAGTCTTTGGGATTAGAAACCCTTTTTAATGCCTATTAGAAGACTCAAGGGGAATGAATTTCAAGACTTGGTATGGGTACATTTCACAACAGCAGCAGCAAAGTTAGCAGCAACTTCAATAGTAGAAGAATAAGTATCATTCTTTAATAATTTAGAAGAAAAATTGAATTAAAAAGATAAGGCAATATGGATGGGATGGGCATGTGACTTAGAATTTGGGTTTGTAAATTTTGGGTTAAATGCTACCATTCCTGGAAGGAGTGTTAAAATTAAAGGATAGCTTAGGAAGAGGTAACAAACCAGATATCAATGATATTATAGGTAGTACTCCTTATTTTCTATTGTCTGATCTTTTTTCTTTATGCTAAAAAGCATAAATATATTACTATACCTTAATAATGACTTTAATTTTAATTTATTTCAATAATAAAGAGTTTTACAATATTTCTTCTATTAAATTTTTCTAAGTCATCAATTATATTGTATCATTTGTAGATAGATTACAATCATATGAACAATATTAATATTTTGATGTCATAAATTAGCAAATGTTGATTTAGTTGTTTCAATGTTTAAAATTACAAAATATATTCATAAAATTATTTTTAAAATGAACTTTTTTATTTAATTACTGATGAATAAAGGAAAAATATAACAAAAAAATATTGTGAATGAATAAAACTTTTTGGATATAAAATTTTATTACCATTTATTGTAAACTTTTTTCCTATATTTTTTTTTGACTCTGTTTTTTTGTTTCTTAATAAAAATTTTATACTATACTTATATATCAATTTTTTTTATCTATCTGAAATGAAAATTATTCTACTGTATGTCCAATAATCACGGATAATTCATAATAATTGGAGTAATTAGCATCCCACCATCCAATATGAAGTTATTCTAAAAAATGGAAAAGTTTTTTTTTGTTGAGAGTAATGTAAAAAAAATTAATGTATAATGTTAATAATATAAAATTTTATATGCATTTTTAAAAACAAATTTTTGTAGCTCTAATTCAAGCATAACAGTTTTCAAGTGGTCAAGAATATGCCAGTGCATTTTTTTTTCTCACAAAGCTAACAATATTTACCCAACCAAGCACTTCTTCTAATATTAGTTGAACAATTTTGTACATTATTATTTACTTGGCAGTATTACGAACTTCCTCTGTAAAATTCTGGCCATTTATTGTCACTTCAATATTTTGTAATGAATAGCTCATTTATCTTTAACTCATAGTATTCTGAGGTCAAAAAAATTAAATAAACAACCTTTGTTACAAGATAAAAATAAGCCTATCTTTAATTCTACTTTTAATAAAGATATATTAATAGGATATAATATAATATATAAGGTTACTGGTTAATAAAGGATTGTTATTTCTGTAAGAGAACATTTTTTACTATATGTATTTAACATGATTTTATTTTTTACTTTTAAAAAAAATCTCCTTTTACTTTAGTACTGCTGTAATTATGTAATTATATAATATATCAGATATCAATTCCATTTAGAAATAAATTTCGTATAATAATTAACAATACTATTAAATATTGTTATGAAATCCTAGCATATAATTCATTTAATGTGTAATTTTTTAATAAATATTTAGTAATTCAACTGATTTTAAACTCAATATTTCAATGTAATTTGAAATAATGGTATGTATTACAGCTGTTAAATACGTTGTAAATCATCTTTAAAATTATCCTGCAATAAGTTATCAAAGTTGAATGTTCCAATATATTTTATCAAACAATTAAAATTATATAATTAAGTTGCATCATGAGCCTGATATATGTGAGTGAATCAAAATTTAAACCTTGCTTATAACATTATATTATTATTTTATAACTATGTTTTCAGAATAATTCTTACAATAATAGATTTAGATATTTCCATTTTTATGTTATGAAATACTTTTTTATAAGTCTTGGGTAGTGGTTTAAATTCTATAAAGGTTATCTAATACAAATCTCCTAATAGAATTTAAGATAAAACTAAAACATTATATTTATAATCATCAGACATGTAAAAATCTTTAATACATTCTTTTGAATCTATCCTGAGATAATTTCTTTATTTATTTATTATAATTAGAATTTATTTTGTTATAGAAAGTATCAAATGATATTGGAGTTTCGAAATATCTCTATATTGATTCTCCATATATATTACTTCCCAGTATAACATTGGTAATTAATATGTTTAACTAATATTATTATTAGTCAAATTATTTTATAGCAGTTACTCATTAAGATCTATTAATACTTATTTTTTCAATTAATCTAAGACAGTATTTAAAATGATAATTTATAATTTTTAATATTTTAAGGTTATTCAGTTATTTTGTATGTGTTTACTAAAAGAAGGGTTAATGGTTTTTTTTTAATTTAGATATTTGATTATATTAGAATCAATACTTTTAGTTATGAAATTATTCATAATTACTTTCCTTTGAACTTTTAGCTAAAACTAATGACTATATTATTAAATAAAAATTATTTATTACTATTTAATAATAATGTTATTTTTCTAGAGAAAAAAAGTATCAATTTAAATAATAAATAAATATTCAATTATTTAACTATTATAGTAGTCATTTCACTTGTACATTATTGTGTAAAATAGACAATCAATCACAGAATTCAGCAAAGAACTAACCAAGAAATTTGGATTACAGAACATTTTTAGTTAAAAAATAATCCATTTATTAACTTGGTTTGTAACATAATATTTGTCGAAAAGCTTTCATATAGATAAAAAGTATAAAAATTACATAATACGGAAAAATCATGACCCACAAAAATTAATCTATGGTTTTAAAGTAATTTCTATTTTTGGTTAAAAATATCATTTTTAGTAACTTAAAAAGATAAAAATAACATACTTAAAAATAATTTCATCTCATTATGGGATGTTCTGTGCTTTATTGAAAATTTTTCTAATTTTTCTGTTACAAAGATTGATTTAATATAATCTGTGATTTGGTCAATATTTGATATTAAACCTTAATCACATAAATACAACCTTAGCTTTTTCCCGCCTAACAGATTTCTTAATCGACGGTAATCTAATAATTTGGAGTCAAGTAATTAGTTATTTATTCTTCAAAGATCTCATCAATAATTTCTCAAAAACATTTATCAAATTTTTCAGGTTTCAATTGTTTGACAGAAAAAGTAGCAGGTCACTCCCTAATATATAGGTTAAATACCTTAAATTCATTATGGTTATAATATGGAATTATAAAGTTTTTTTATTCACATGTCAGTCATGTCATGTATAATCTTCATTGAAGATATACGATCTGCATCTTTGATTTAGTATAAATGAGAAAACAAATATAATACTGTATAATAACTTATTGTTAACCAATTTTGCGTTATCTCTACAAAAGAATCAATTTTCTTACTAAATTACTTTATCAGTGTATTATCAAGGATTTGGTAATTAACGAAAATACCAATCGTACATCTCGTGAGTCGTGATTATTCACTCATTAAGTCTTTTAGTTGCACACACAAATTGTAAATTACATATTTTATGCTAAAAAGGCACTATATTATAATAGTGTTCTCTTACCCTATATATAGTATATTAATTTTACCTACACGAAGAATCGGCCTTCATTTTTGGGAGATTACAAAAACTGTTTATAACGTTTAATTGTTTCTATTTCACTTTCATTCTATATTATGTAATCTATTAGCGGCATCTTTCAATAAATAAAATAAAATAGTATTTTTTATTTTTTATGGAAAAGCAAAACACATATTATTTGCATTGAGGGTTCTTCAAATATTTTATGTTTTAAGTCATGACTAATTGACTAAAAGGAGAAACATAGTACACGACAAAATCATGAATCATTTTCGTATCCTTTAAGAAAAGATTAAATATTATGATATACGAATAATTTAGCCACTAATTATTACATACTTTTTCTGCTATATGATCTCACATAATTGCATACATGAGCCACAAAATCACTTGCACTCACTTTCGCAGCATATAATTTTTTTCTACACCACAGGCAAAAACTTTATTTGAAAACTTTATTTGCAACACAAAAAAAAAAATTAATTCATTATTCTTTACAATAATGATGTTCTTTACAAAACGACTCAATTAACCACACGTAGAAAGCGGCACAACCTTCCGCCGTCTGCACTACTTGCTACATGATGCATTAAGTCTCATCAGTATGATTATGTGCACAATATTTATCTGCAACGATTTTATACTCACCATAATAACTTCCCAACTTTCAACAATATCTCTTATATCGATAATTTGAAATATTTTCAACCAATCTGCTGGAATAGAACACAAACCAGAATCAATGTAACATTTTGAATGAGAGCTAAATGCCGCGCTTTTTATTTCTGCGCAAGTAATCGTATTATTGTTATAGACTGGGACTAATGCATTCTGAAGACAAAGCATTGTTTTCGTTACCCTTATTAATAATTAAAAAAAGGAGTATAATAAAAATTAGTAATTATTGAAAAAAAAGAGTCCTTGTTCTCTCACATAAAATACATTTTATGTGCCATTCATATTCACCATTTCTTTCCATCGTTGCTGAACCGGTTTATGGCATTCGCAAATTTTTCGCAATTCATAGATCCATATCTAATTGGATATCCATTGATTCCACAATTAAATTTCTTCTCCAAGCAGTCCGTATAAAAGTTACAAGAATTTAATGAAGGACGACTACAATTTGTAGTAAGAGGATGCGGTTGCGATGGTTGTGGTGGTTGTGGCGATTGTGACTGTAGTAGATGTGATAATTTCGATATTTTTTTACAGCCGGTGCATGCATAATCTTTGCAACAATAGCTATTTCCATCACCGGTCGCACAACAGCCCAACGTACAAGTACCATATCGACAAATTTTGGTATCACCAGGATTGCATCGAAAAATAGAAGAAAGATCAGAGCAACCTGTACTTTACAAGTACGTTAGAAATACTGTAAGAGGCGACGAAAAATAAACGAAACATGAGTTATTTACCGCTATTCAATTCAGATCCGCATTTGAAACCACCGATGGTATCATTTGTAATGCATGTGCAGCTGCCGGTATTATTGTAGCAGTAAGCAAAGGTTCCAGGAATGAAAAAGACCAAGAGGTCCAAGAGAAAAAAGTGAATAATGTAGTTCATTGTTATTTAATAATAATAATTTTATCTAAATATACACAATTATTTTGTTGGTCCGAAATCCACATTTTATTTGTTTTTATACATAATTAAAATTCTGAATTATACATGAATGACGCTTTTAAAATGAGTGATTGGATTACCATAGTCGGCTTAGGAGTCTGCTGAATTACATATTCAAAAGCCACGTAAATGTATCGTTACACTCGATAATATACAACGGTTTTAATCATATTAATCTAAATAAGATTTAAACTTTCATTTTATTGTACAAGGCGATTATGTTAATATGACCATATCATCAATAGAAGTTCCATAAAAAATATAATAGAATAAATTCCCGTGTATAAAGAATTACCTCTTTAAAAAATATAATAAATGTATTAGTACATTTAAGAGATGCGTGAACGTTATATGATGAATAGAATAACGCCAATCAATTTTGCCAAGAAAAATTGATCAAAAGCGACATATAAGCATTTTTACCATCCACGTATTTTACACATGTTAAAAAACACAAGCCCGATACGATAAACAATCAACACTTTATTATTTAGATTGCGTTACTAAATTATTTCTAAAAGTACCCATCAAAAAATGTCACGAAAGGGGGCTTTGCTATGGCGTGTGGCTACCGATCACGAGATAACAAACAGTTAAGCCTGCTTGTAACACAGCAAAAATCAAAATGTTTCCGAAAAAAGTACTTACATAATAAGAAATTAAGAATATGTATAAACACCTGTTAAATGAATATATGTATAAATATATTATATTTATTTTATTAATTGACTAGATATTCGAGATTTTGTTGCCGAATTGTAAAAAAACATTGTTTTGTACCAAGATTAATTTGTTAATCACCTTTCTAAGCGGTATCAAATCATTGTCAAATTAGCCAAATCGCTCGTAAATTTTAAAGTGAATACCACGAAATACATTATGTCATATACCCTATAAAAAAATTGTATACGTTTTTTATAAAGTTTTTATACGATTTTTTTTCCTTAGAAATAACGTATCATAATAGGATACGGAAAAATGCACAATTCCGTATCACCAAAAATATGGTTTGGATACGGAATTTGCACGGGATTTATATGGAATTTACATGATTTGATCACTGATTTTATCACGTAATTTATACGATTTGGTCACTGAATTTACTATTTGTATTACAGTTTACTATAATTGTATTTACATAAATCTAATTTCACTTTATTAAATTAAATAAAAAATATAAAATAAACAAAGTACAAATACATTATGAAAATTCCCTCTTTATTAAAACCACCTATTGCAACCTAAATTATCTATAAGTTCAGGTTCATTTGGATCAAACAACCTAAAAGAACAAAAAAAAGAAACATAAGAACGTCTAACTTAATTGGAAACAAAACCCCCCTTCATATAGTATCTGCAATCGTCCAAGTCACCAAAGGTCAGCATTCCTACAAAAAAAGAAAGAGAACTCCAGAATGTCTGACCTACA